TTTGAACCATGATCCTCAGATCTTAGCCTCTTGAATAGCTAGGATTACAGGCGTGAGCCGCTGGTGCCCGGCTATTGCTCTTCTTCATGGTCACAAGATGACTGGCAGGGCTAGTCTCCCGTGATGACAGCCAGTCCTCTCTGTTCAGTGTGACTCATCTAGCCTGAGCTGTGTGACCCCAGGGTGATTGACGTTCTCCAGGGCCAGTCCATGTGCTGAGCTGCTTCAGCATGAGGGCTGGAACCTGTCCTCAGTGGGGCTGGCTAGGATAGGCTTTGAAGGGACAATGAGCCATGCTCCTGGGGCTCCTCCAAGCTACCTGGAGGAGGGTGAAGTGATGGGCATATGCCAGAACCAATGTGAGATTTGTTGATAAGAGATGGGTGTTGACTAGCGAAGGATTTGGCAGAGGGCTAGGTGTCAGCATTCTACCCCTTCTACAACTGTGCTAGAAAGTTCTTTGCAAGCTTAGACTCACCTGGCACTTCCAGCTCTCAGCCTGAGCTCCCCGTGGCTCCCAAGTCTTAAATCTCCACAGGAGCCTGTGTATTTGTGGCTTGTACCAATGTTGGGAGCAGAGGCTGCTCCATACATCAGTCTTCTATTGTCACAGGTGGAAAATCTGTAGAGATGTGTTAGGCCATCTGGATCTTCTTTCTGGACCCTTCTCAGAGACCAGCAGTTGACTGGCTACAGCTACTGCCTTAGTATCACCTCTGTCCCCTCCTTCCTGCCCCTCACTCTGCTTCCTCTCACACAACAGCCTGTACCCACACCCCAGCCTTTGCTGTCAGGGAACCAAGAATTCAGACTAAAGGAGCCATGTGGTACTGGTCATCTCCTGAAGTCCTTTACCTTGCCAGAGTTAAAATGGCACAGAGTGGCTCACGCCTGTAATCCTAGCTACTCTGGAGCGTGAGATCTGAGGATCACAGTTCAAAGCCAGCCCAGGCAGGAAAGTCTGCAACACTCTTATCTCAAATTAACCACCAAAAAAGCCAGAAATGGAGCTGTGGCTTAAGTGGTAGAGCACTAACCTTGAGCTAGAAAGTGCCCAAGCCCTGAGTTCAAGCCCTAGGACCATCATGGGGGGCGGGGGGGGGGGAGGATTTAATTTGGACTCATGGCTTCAGATGGTTCAGGCTGTGGTTAGCTGGCTCCCATTGCTTCTGGGCCTGTGAACGGAAAAGCAGAACCATCACAGTGTGGCAAATCTGCTTACCTCATGATGGACAGGAAGCAGAGAGAAGTAACAGGAAAGGGGCGAATCACACCCTCCAGCTGGGTGTGGATGGCTCATGCTGAGATCTCATGGCTGAGATCTGAGGATCATGTTTCTAAGCCATCTCAGGCAGATAAGTCAGTGAGACTCTTATCTCCAATGAACTACCAGAAAACTGGAAGTGGCGCTGTGGTTCAAAGTGCTAGCTTTGATAAAAAAATACTCAAGGACAGCACTCAGGTCCTGAGTTCAAGCCCCCATAGCTGTCAAAAAAACAAACAAACAAAAACAAAAAAAATGGGTGCCAGTGGCTCATGCCTGTAATCCTCGATACTCTAGAAGCTGAGATCTGAGGATCATGGTTCAAAGCCAGCCCAGGCAGGAAAGTCTGTGAGACTCTTATCTCCAGTAAACCACTAGAAAACCGGAAGTGGCATCATGGCTCAAGCAGTAGAGTGCTAGCCTTGAGCTGAAGAGCTGAGGGAGAGTGCCCAAGCCCAGAGTTCAGGCCCCATGACCAAAAAAAATAAAAATAAAAAAATTTAAAAAAAGGCAGTTATTAGCCAAGGAGGATGGCCTGGTCCCATCATCCATTTCTGAACATTCTAGGTGGCATCTCAGAATTGCTAAGGACAGCTCATGGCTTTGGAAAGCCAGAGTTTTTGCACTCTTGGCTAGTCTGCATGCATACCTCTAAGGGACTGGCTAGAAAGTGGTTGAGCAGTAGGGGAATGACTGGGGAATAATACAGGGCTTAGAAACTTGTCAATGAACAAATGAGCCCAATCGTTGTATTTCTTTGGCTGGTGTAGTCAAGTTGAATGGAACTGTTTAAGGAGAGACACAATTAGTGTCAGATTAGTCACAGGCTCCACCCTTCACTAATATCTCAAGGGAATTTATAACACAAGGGACATTCCCTTGTGTTATAATCTGGATCTTATTTTATTTGAAGAATGTTTCTTATTGAGGATGCCCTAAGACCATGTGGATGCAAGGAACACCTTGGTGGCCGATACAAGCAGTCTAG